GAAGTTCATCACCACTAAACCAGTATTACATGAAATATTGAATGCTATTCTTTAAGAAGAAAAAGATAAATAATATGAACAATAATATGGCAATAAATACATATCTATCAACAATTGAATCTAAAAATCTAAATAAACAAATAAGAAATCTAATGAACAGAATAAACTGGTAAATAAAATAGAATTAGAGGCATGAAAATAGAACTGACTGATGAATCTCAAAGGGAAGAGGGTTGGGAGGTCAGGAAGAGAGTAAACAAAGATCTTATATATGCATATATGCATTACCTACAGACACAGACAGTAGGGTGGCGAAGGCCTGTGGGTGCCCCCCCCAGCCACCTCTGGCCTTGTCCGCCAGCCACACTGAGCCCTCCCCTATCAGGGCTCCTTCCCTGGAGACGTCTCTCAGGGCTGCTGGGGCCTGTGGTGCGGAGCGGGAGGGAGGGGTGAGCCCCAGGGAAAGGGAGAGGGTGGAGGCAGCCAGGCTGTTTGGGATGCTAGGGGAGGGGCTCACGCAGCAGCAGCACCGGGAAGAGGCCCTGCCCACAGGGGGTCTGGCCTGGGAGGGGATGTTTCTTTGCTCCTGCACAGAGCACAGAGCGAGAAGGCTCTGGGCTCAGGCCCCCTGTGGAGTTTCCTGGTGGGGCTCAACTTCTCGTAGGAGAGAGGAGCTTGCAGGGATTGTGTCTGAGAACCCCAGGATCAGACAAGCACCCCACAAATGAGCTTCCTCTTCCTCTCCAAATATGCTAAGAAAAAGCTTATGCCTGGCATCTTGTAGCAAAGATCATTCTTTTTTGGGTGTCAGAATTAAGGCCCACTTTTGAGTGCCTCCTACAACGTCACTGAGTCTTGCCCCGAGACGCAAAGCTGCACACCGTGGCTGGGCCACACGCAGCCGGGCCACGTGCAGCCGGGCCACGTGCAGCCGGGCCACACGCAGCTGGGCCACACGCAGCCAGGCTGGCCCCACACGCAGCCGGGCCACACGCAGCCTGACCACACACAGCTGGGCCACACGCAGCCAGGCTGGCCCCACACGCAGCCGGGCCACACGCAGCCTGACCACACACAGCTGGGCCACACGCAGCCAGGCTGGCCCCACACGCAGCCGGGCCACACGCAGCCTGACCACACACAGCTGGGCCACACGCTAGTGGCTTTTGCATATTAATGGTCTGTCCTTGCTCACACTTCAGACTTTGCTAAAATCTCTCAAACAAGCTGCAGCTGGTGACAGCATGCCCCAAATGTATCAATAAAAGGTCCAAGACCTGGCATTAGCACCAGCCTGCCTTGCTTCATAGCCAGGCCTCACCTGGGCACCTCCAAGCCCAATATAAATAGTAAATAGCAGCCATCTGCAGATCCCTCTGTAGCTCCTGACAGGTGGCCCCAGGCAGTGGCTGACTTTGCACCTCCCTGGAGACTCAAGAGCGAGTGCACCCAGGGGGCAGCTTCAGACCACA